GAACAGGCCTTTCGCCTCGCGGTCTATGGTAAGTGACTGTTTAAAACCCTGTTTAAGTGAAGTTTGAACAAGTGAAATCATCTTCCAGGGCGGTTAATAAATGCGTGTTTCTTCGGCCTCGTCCCCAGGACACAGGGCCCCGTGGATAATAACTCCTCGCTCGTGCCCTGCAGTGTCCTGCGGAGGAAATACAGGCACTGGGGTTGAGTTTTTCCCAGCCTGCACAAGGCAGGGAGGAGAATGTGCGGGAGGAAGGTTGTAACCCAGCCCCTCAGTTCTGCACAACTGAGAACCACCCTCCAGGAATTCGAACCTACATCAAGTGGTTCCAGGGCCAGGCTGGTGCTGGGAGGCTCATTTCTAGGGGTGAGTCTGTGATCCCCCTTTGGCAGTGTGCACCACAGGAACACGATGATGGCCCTGCTCGATACAGAGCTGAAGGGTGGATGCTGGGGGCATGCTGTGATGGCCCTGTGACCTGCATAGCTGTCCCCTGGCTCTGCTGTGCACAGTCATCCCGAGGCCATCTAAGCCACCCCAGTGAGGATAGTGGTGCTCCTTGCTTGTGAAGGAGCTGCAGCAAAACAGGCCTCCAAGCAGCTGTCAGAGGGACCCCATGTTGTGTGATTGCTGGAGGATGGACTCCCCAGGAGAGTCCGATCTGATTCCCGTGAGGTGTCCCTGTGTCTCTTAGCCCTGCCCCAGGAATCACATCCCATCTTCCCCCAGCTCTGCCCAGCCCCCTGCAAACCATTCATAGCCTCAGCTTCTCTTGCCCTGGCCCATCGTTAGTGGCAACCTCCCGGAGGCTCTAGTCATTTACATCAATGCCCCTTTACCCCACTCTGGCCGCGCAAAGGGGCCTTCAAGGGGTGTAAAGAGGGACCACTGGAAGGCCCTTTTGTGCGGCCAGAGGCACGTAAAGAGCCCTTACAATACATCGGGGGAGAAAAAAAAAGGCGCGTGGCAGCCAGTCGCAGAGCCCGGGTCACCTGACGCAGAGCCCGGGTCACCTGACTCGGGCTCCTGAGACTTGAGCTAGGTGGCTAAAACTAGCAGTGTAGAAGTTCCTGCTCGGGGCTGGAGCCCAGGCTCTAACATCTGGCGATGGCAGTGGGTCTCAGAGCCCGAGCTCCAGCCCACGCAGGAATGTCCACGCTGCTCCCTTGAGCACCATGGCAGGCCCCCGAGTCGGCTGACCCGAGCTCTGAGACTCGTTGCCAGGTGGTTGTTTTTTCCCCAGTGTAGACACCTTCTGTGTCAATGAGAATCAGGCCCCCAGAGTCTTTCATTCTCATTTCATTTCTTCTGAATGCAGAGCCCGTTCCAGCGCCGGAGATGAAGAGTCACTCGCTCTCCAGCCCGGCAGCTGGGTGCAACGTCACTCTGCAGTGTCAGGTGTCTGGCAGGGAAGAGGTTAACATCTCCTGGAGTAGAGGGAACCCACCCCGAAACCTGGGCGATCCCGAGCGGTACCAGCTCAGCCCGGACGGCAGGACCCTTCACCTGTCTCTGCAGCGCAACCTCACAGACTCTACCTTCACCTGCACGGCCAGCAACCCCGTGGACCAGAAAAACATCTCTCTTGACCTGCAGAGCATCTGCCAAAGCGGTGGTGAGTTATCGGCAGGGCGTGTCTGTCTGCTCGCTTACACCGGCTTTATGCGAACATAGCTCCACTGGCGTCAGTGCTGCTACTCCTGGTTTACAGCAGCGTACGTGACCGGAGAACCAGCCCCCCAGACAGAGCGATAAATACAGTGGCCACGGGGCTGCTTTTTGTTCACGAACGCTGCCGAAGCAGTGAGCCAAGCTGGAATTCGCTCCCATTTCCAGGCCCCTTTACGCTGCCAGCGCGAAGTGAAGGGGTCTTAGTGCGAACGCGGATTCAGGCTGGTCAGGCCGATCCCCCTGACTCTGTCTTTTCCCCATTGCAGGAGCGGCTCCCAGTCCTTGCCATTGGAAAGCCATTATTGGGGCGCTGTTCCTGGGACTCGAGATCAATGCCATGGTCCTTGTGAACCTGGTGCACAGAAAAATGCCATAACGCTGGCGGTTGGGCTGGGACCTCGTATCGCAGACGCCTGACGAGAAGGTGGACGGGGACTGACGGGGAGGCGGGGGGGGAGCAGGCTATCGGGTGAAATCCAGGCCCCGGTGAAGTCAGTGGGAGTTTTGCCAGTGACTTCTGTGGAGTCCGGATTTCACCCCCAGGTGTAGCGTGGTCCCCAGAATCTCCAGTGAAATGCACCTGTTCATCAGAGAATTGTCCGAGCAAGCTTTGTCTAAAGGAGGTGTTTCTCCACGGTAAAGAGAAATAAAAGTGCTGGATATTTGAGAGTACTTTAATACTGGAGTATCGTGCTGAGTTGGGATTAGCTATGCAGTTACTGACTCGCGCAGCTAGTGATACATATTCAAAGCCCTGCTCACGGATTGGCTGCAATGGTCTGATTTCCATGATGACTGTAAGGTTCTCTCTCTAGCACAGCGGGTTTCAGCCTGTGATCTCTGCAGAGCTGGAGAACAAGGCAGCATCTTCAGAGCGGAGCTGTTCCAGGCATGGTGCAGGGGAGGGCAAGGCGGACTCTGCATTCAGACCACGGAAAGGGGCAGCTGATGGTCTGTCAATCTAGGTACTTACATGACCAGCGCCGAAGTATCTGCCAGGATTTGGAAACAGGCAGTACTATGGTCGGCATTACGGCGCTGCAGCGGCATGGCCTCACCACCATAGTGTAGACGTACCCCAAGGGCCATTTGTACCATTCTGACCACACCAAAGGGTCTTAAAAGGGGTAGAAATGACAGTTACATTCACTTTAAGGCTGCTCTAGGTTTCCGTAGCCTTGTAAAGGGGCCTCATTGTCGATGAGAACCAGGCTGTTTATGTGTAACTCAGGGAGTCGTTTACACCAGAATAAAGTCACTTCTGTTCTAGTGTCCACATGGGGTGTTATACCAGCACAGCTACAGTTCTGTTGTCAATTCCCTGTGTAGACAAGCCCTTATCACACAGCAGATAGTTCCACGCTCGTCCTATATGATGGGGAGCTGTTGACTTGTACAGAACAGTGTTGTCTCCAATACAGTCTCTCCGTTGTGTTCTCTTGGGGACCCCTCTGGGGAAGCCAGTGACTAACGTCTGTCACATGGGAACTCATGTGCCTCCTTCCAGCTCATCAAGGCTGGAGACTGGGTCATGAGCGGCTCTCACCTGGTTTGACAGGACGCGGCAGCTGACGAATTTCCCCAGCCCTGTGCTGTCCTGTGCCAGTCACGCTGGCAGCCCCCAGAATGGCTTGTTGTTTGGAGCATGTTTTTCATTTCCTCTGGGCCGAATCCTGCTCCCCTGGAATCTGATGGGATCGAGATCTGCGCTTCCCCTTGCAAATGCAGCGTGAGGGGCACAGTGGCTGCCCCTCGGCCTCCAGAGACCGGCAGAAGCAAAACCACTGAGACTGGAGCAAGGTGGGAAGAGCACATTCCCGTGCAAGGGCCGGGTTCACACTGGATCTCATTCCCCTGCTCCACCTCTTCACTGGGGCTCTCTAGGCCCTATTCACCCCTTACCCATTCGGTTTTGTTTTAACCCATTGTGTGCTGCAACGGGGGGAAATCCTGGCCCCAGGGACATCAACGGCGAAACTCCACAGGCTCACTAGGGGTGGGATTTCAGTCACCCAGCGGGGGCTCAGGTCCTGTAGGACAAGCTGCCTTCTGCACGAGACTCACGGATTGATATTGCAGCCAGTGGAGGAGCTGGAGAGCTCGGGGGCTGGCAATGGGCCGCAGAGCTTTTCACGACTAGGTTGCTGGTTCCAGAGCAGGGCAGCAGAGCCTCACAGCTGTTAGCATCTGAGGCACTGAGGCCCAGACCCTAAAAGCTACCTCCCTTTAAAATCAATGGAAGTTAAGTGCCTAAACCCCCGAGACTTAACCGCCGATTCCTAGTAGATACGCGTCTTTAAGAGGGTAACTGACCCTTGGAACAATTTACTTAGGGATGTGGTGCAGTGTTTGAAGTCATTACATTGAGACTGACTGCATTTGTCCAAGACCCACTCTAGCTCACCCACAAGTTGTTGGTCTCAGTGCAGGAACTGCTGGGTGAAAGCCTCTGGCTTTGCTACGCCAGAGATCAGATTAGCTGGCCACAGTCGTCCCTTTTGGCCGTAGCCTCTAGGGTTCTAGGTTGCTAGGCAATGATCGACACCCGTTTTATTGGTACCGTGTTTGTTTGTTTGTAAATCATGGATCACTATCAACTACCCCAGCTGCCCTCCTCCTGAGTCCGGCTCACTTGTAGGCATCATTGTAGGGGCAGGTGTTAGGGAGTGGCTGCGCTGACGTGGGAATAGAAGCCCCGTGGACCAGGTCAGGATGGGCGGTTTGGTCCAAACACACCCCCGCCGAGATCTAGCGACCCCAAAGAGAATTGTCAGCTGCCAGAAGGATATCAGCCCTCCTGTGACTGGTTTCACTTCCCTCTAGAACCATGCGTTGCCTTTCTGAAGAATCTGGGGGAATTTACAACATGCCGTCCAGCCTCTCTATAAACTGCTTCCCCGGCTGTTTTGGAAGAAGGTGGTTCCCAACCATTGGCTCCTAGCTTCATATCAGCAGCTTTCAGTTCCTCCATCTTGCAAGTGGAGCGCTTGCAAACTCTGCACAATTTAGTCCTCCGCTGTTCCATCCAGGAACCAGCCCCACACAAATCAGTTTCTGTGAATTTGCTCGAGGTTCACGACAATTCACCAGGGGCCTCAGGCGAAGCCACTGGGTTGTCCTGGATTCTTTGCTGTGAACATTTGGGCAGCTGCACAAGCTTATTTGGTGCCTAGATCTTAGGCCAGCCCTCCGCTCCTGTGTGGATTTTACCCTTGGATTTGAAAGGGGCTTTGAGATTCTCCAGTGGAAGGTGCTCCAGCTGGAGAATGGCTTAATTAGTCTTTTGGGAATAGGTGAATCCTTTTCCTTGAACTTCCAGAACTGCTGATAGCAGAATAGGAAACACCCAACATTTCCTCTTGCTTTGAGGGGTTTTTTTAAATCAAAAATAATCTTTCCTTCTCGTCAGCAACACTTCCCTCTTTTCAGCCAGCTCGTTGCTACCGAGGGCCAGGACTATTATTAGCTGCTTGGGAAAGGGGGTTTCTCCCCTCCCGGAAAATGTCATCGGAAAGGGGGCGGGAATCCTTTTCGTCAAAGTTTTCAGCAGAAAATGGAGACTTTTGTTGTTGGAGCCTGAACTACGTGTGGTCCTGGGCTGGGAAAACATTTGTTCTTTGAGTTTCTCGGGTCTCTGATGAAAAACCAGACTGTTTCTAGGACAGCAGATGCTTTCTGCAAACGTTTTCTTAGAGTCGAAAACCCACATTCCAGCAAAAAAAGAGAAGTAGAAGGAAAAGTTTTGACCAGCCCTGTTTGGTGTCCCCCTTTCATAGAGAGGGGAAATGAGGCATAACAACTGGCTCACAAATCATTGGCAGAACCAGGATTCGAACCCAGGAGCCCTGATTCAGGGTCGGATCCTCAGAGGTACGTAGGCACCTAACTCCTGTTGATTTTAAGGATCTAGGTCTTGTTGCCTACTACCTTATCCATTGGACTCCCTTTCCCCCCTCCCCCACCCCTTGTTAACACTGATGGTTCTATCTAGTCCGCTGTTTGGTCGTGCTGTGACCCCTCCTTTTTACTGGCAGTGTTGCTGAATCATATCAGACCAGTTCATCCAGTATTGTTCCATAGGTTTGAATATCAACGGGGGAGGGAGAGCTCAGTGGTTTGAGCATTGGCCTTCTAAACCCAGGGTTGTGAGTTCAATCCTTGAGGGGGCCACTTGGGGATCTGGGGCAAAATCAGGACTTGGTCCTGCTAGTGAAGGCAGGGGGCTGGACTTGATGACCTTTCAAGGTCCCTTCCAGTTCTAGGAGATGGGATATCTCCATTATTTATGTTTTATGATCTGGCTGATGCCCATATTGGCCATCCTCTGTTTGGTGCTCGCTTCCCTCCATGGCTTCGGCAGCCAACAACCCCCTTCGGTGAAAGCTGGGCCCGCCGCGTTGTCTAAGCAGGAGAGTTTGGGCACAGTGCTGCCTGCAGGTACACATTTGCAACCCTCCTAAGAGTTAATGAAAATCGCACCCTCCGTGTAGAGAAGACTCAGGGCTAGTCTGTGATGAATATAAAGGAGATTCTTTACCCAGCTGCTGGACTCAGACAGACCCTGTGGTTCCCTCTGGCCCCCCAGCTCGCAGTGTGTCCTGCTGAGTGTGGCCCCACTGAGCCCTGGCCTGGATGCACAGGGTTGCTGGCTGGACTACATGCCTATAGGCAGAATTTGACTCCCTGAACAAGTCTATAATAAAAGCGCTGGTTGCAAATACTTCTCTGTTCTGAGAGTAGCTCGTCTGCCTTCTGCTTCCCCAACAGACGAGGCGGTTGGGAACCTCGTGTTTCAATTCCAGGCTGGTGCACACATCTCTAGCACAGCCCACCGGCCATAGCGTGGCAGAGGCGTTGGGCCCGGTCCCCAGCTGGTGTAAATCAGTGTGGCTGCATGGAGGTCAATGGAGACGCTGATCGTTCACGTGAGACGCCCGGATCTCCGAGACGGCAGCTCCCAAGCACGACAGGGAATGGGGGCTCAGGGCCTGGCCACAGGTGCGTGCATATCCTGGGATTGCTGGGAGAGCAGGGGTGCTGAAAACTGGGTAAGTTAAGTGCCTCAGCCCAGGGAAAGACTCCCATTGATTGAAGGGAGCCAACTCTCGGGAAAGACCCTCTGTTGACTTCCTTGGGAGTGGAATGAGCCGGCCCAGATTGCCAGCCAGATGGCTTCGGTTCAAGGGGCTGATCCAAACCCCGGTGACTCCTGCACCTGTCGTGGGGAGCATTTCCATCGGCTGCCATGGGCCAGGCCCTACTTCAATTGTCCGTGGCTCGAGATCCTTTCTCGTTGCTGGTTGTTGCTGTCACTGCTGCTTGTTAACAGGCGTCCCAGCTGCCTCCTCCCCCCGAGGATTTCGGATGTCCCCGTTCTGTGCCTCAGAAAGCAAGCCAGGTACATAGACAAGCCCAACTGGGATATTCCCCTTCTCTGGCACGTAGGACCACCCTGTTCTCTCCCGCAGCTGCCCAGAGGGCGTTTTCAGCCCCCAGTGAAATGATGGAGCTCAGGGGTCAAACGGAATTGATTTAGTCACAGTCGTACTCGATCAGCATGCAGATCTTTGGCTCTCCGCAGGCTTGGCGGCTGCAGGGCCTTGGCAGGCCCGGTTCTCTGCCACCCGGTTCTCTTGTGCCCTTCTTTACACCCGTGGAAAGTGGGCATAAAGCGCCACCAGCTCAGAAGGGTGGTGAGACCATTGCGCTGCGGTAAATGAATTCACAGCGATGGCAGCCCCGGATCTTTGGCCTTTGTCCTCCGTTAATCCCAGGATCCTGCTGGATTCTCAGTTCTTCCTACAAAGTCCTGAGGCCCAGGTCCCATGGGAGATCAGGGGCGAGACCCCTTTCAGGATCTGGGCCTCAGAGTCTTTAGCTCCCTTTGACGTCAACGTGAGTTGAAAGTTCTCAGCACCGCCCAGGATCGGGCCCTGGGTTCCATCATTCTTGGTGTTTCCCTGTGGAACCTCGTTAGGGTTGATTGAGACATAGACATAGTTAAACCAGTGCACAGGCCAGCCCTTAGCTTAGGAGACAATGTCCTATCTGTAGCACAGGACTTAGCAGGAATGCCCCCAGCTCAAGGGGGGTTTGAATCTAGGGAGGTGACGATTTAATTGTCCTGATGTAAGATTCCTTAACGAGCCAGGACTCAATACTTGGCTATAAGCAAGCTCTCGACCGCCTGGCAGAAGGGCCATGTTGCGGATCCAGCCGTGAGAGAAGCAATTATGATTTTTTGTGTGCACTGACCAGTGCCCTGCATGCTCCATCGTGTACCAATGGATAATCAGTTAATTAATAACAGTGCTAAGCTCCTGCATGCACAGACCCTAGAGGGTGTGCCATGATGCAGTTTTGCTCCTCCCCACCTCCCAGCATCTGCCTCTGCTACCAGGATCAGCACAGAGACGCACAGAGAGCAGGGAAGACATGGAGGTGGCCAGCAAAAAACCCTCTCTCCCTTTCTTGCTAGTGATGCTGATCAGCGTCTCTCCAGGTAGGTGAACCAGAACTGGTTTAAATTGTACACGCAGAGGGCAGTGTGTGGCACAAGAACTAAGGAATACTATAATGTAAGAATTTATAGCAAAAGAGCAGGAGACTGAAGGGAGAACCAGTGGTATGTTTTTTCCCCCATGGTAAATTGTTTTCAATGCTTTTATGGCAGGTTTCTGTGCTATTTTTTTAGATTGGCTAGTTATTGAATGTTAAATTAATGTGAGTGGAATATTAAAGATATATTAATAGAGGTGTAACCACTATTAGACCAATTTATTTTACCCACTGCAGATTCGTTGCTAGATATTTTCCAGAGTGTTATCTAATCCAGTTGATTGTGTGGGGTTTTTGTTCAAAGAATGTATAAATGTGTCACCAAAGAAATAAACGAGGCTGACAATCGGGATTTCTTCCTTAGGTTGTTGATTTTTCAGGTGGCTGAGGAAAGGAGACTAGTCTCGGCGAATTTATCATCAGATTTTTATCAACAGCTCATGAACGTTATGGGCCAGATGCCCCCCTGGCGTGAACTGCTGTAGACCCACTGAACCCAGTGCAGCTTTGCCATTTTATACCAGCTGAGAGCTTGGGCTCTTATGTAAAACAAGACAGAAGAACCTCCGTTAATTCTCACTTTGCTAATCCACAAATCTAATAATTCTCACCAAAGCCGCAGTTCCTAGAGAAACCATTTAATAGCAGGGACGGATCAGCAGGGAGATTCTGTTCCTAAAAACTTGCTGTTTTTACAGAATATACTGCTGCAAAACATCATTTTTTTTTTAAAAGGATGCTTGTCTCAACCCCCAGGTTCATGATTCTGCCGTGCAGATGAAGAAGATGGAAAGACCTTTCTGATGATGTAGCACTTCCCAATTGCTTTCTTTGTTCTCCTCTATCTGCACAATTGTATAGGACATAGGTCTGGTGTAGCAATGAGCCGCAACCAAAGATGGGTTAGCACTGAACAAACGCAGATCTCTCTTAACAACTGCACGTCCCTGCTGTCATTTCATTAGACCGGAATTGGACTGATCCATGTACAAAATACACCATGATCACTTGGTTCAAATCAGTTATAATGCTTAACAACATACTACATCTATCTCTATCTCTCATCATTACTCAGTGATCTTTCCCATCTATTTATCTCTCCTGCCAGCTGATCTATCTTAGAGTTTCCTATGGCACCATAGTATTTACGCTTCTCCCCTTCAACTCTTAGACCTTTCTGTTATGATCCACTCTTCCCCCACGAGCAGTCAGCTTTTTCCAGTTTGAGACCAGGGATTTACCAAGATTAACCTGTTCCAAACAACTTCTGGGTAAACAGGATAAAAATCGCACCACGCGGACAGACTCAGGAAACGATTTCATTGTAGCAAAGTGACCCAGCCAGGGTGGTTTTTCCAAACCATTTCCTTAGACTACCCTGAACAATGGTGCGGCAGCGGCAAACGGAGCCGCTGAGACCAAATATGTCGCTGTAGAACGGTTGCCTCTTCTAAAGCGGATGTCAGTATCATGGCAAGCCCCACACATCAGTCGAGCTACTGGCCTCTGGTAAACTGGCCTGAGAACGGATGAGGACAGTGGCAAGCAGTGTTTTGCAGAGATCTTGATGAACATCCCTAAAATTAAATACAGTTGGAAGCACTAATAAAGCCAAGTGTTCCAGAGATGAGGAAGGATGGTTCAGGGGTTAGCGCCCTAGCCCGAAACTTTAATTCATATATTTTAAGGCCAAAAGGGTGCATTTTGATCATGTAGTCTGGTCCCCTGTATAACACAAGCCAGAGGATTTCACTCAATTCTCACCAGTCAAATGGTGTTTGACCAATTCCCTGCTCGGCCACAAACTTCCTCTGTGACACTTAGTCGCTCTGTGCCTCAGTTTCCCCATCTGTAAAACAGGGGTACCAACCCTCCCCTGCCTCACAGGGGTGTTGTGAGACTAAATAAATTAAAGATTTGAGGCACTCAGGTGCTACCGTCGCGGGGGCTGCTGCATCCAGGAATAGGGTAGTATACTGTTAAATAGTTTGCAAGCCTTTGAATGGTGTTTACTGAACTCTGCGTCTTAGAAGCCAGCCAGAAAAGTAGCGTGCATGTAGCTAGGCCTGGTGCCTTCGTGTGTGTTTGGTCAACACAGTTAGTTGGGCCTAGGTGGTTAATTCATGTTATTTTTGTTTGTTGTGGAAACATGAAAAGAAACACACCTGGGGCCACAGATGTCCCTGATACAGGCAGGTGCAGGTCGGCTCTCAGAGCTTTCAAGTTGTGGATCTGACCCAAGAGTCTGGAAATGCTGATGAGGCAAATTAACTTGGTTTAGGGCTTTGGGGCCTCGTCTGCCTTCCTGGGTGGGGATTCATGACAAACGGCCCCCAGCCCAAGCCAACTCGCTTTGTGCTGCCTGTTGACAAAGGCCCTAATTCAGGGAAGTGCCGCGGGTGGAAACCCAGGTCCCCGTTCAAGTCAAAGGGAGCTGTGTGGGGGGCTTGGATTTTACCCAGAGACCAGGCTTTTCAAAAGGGCTCGATACCCACAAGTGAGGCTAGATGTTCAGATATGTACGTTGGATCTCCACGGGGCGCTGTGCCCTCCAGACAGTCCAGCCCCAGGTGTGAGTGCTGGGACATCTGGTCCTGAGCTCTGGAGAAAATCTGACCCTTTAGCCCGTGCTTAGCGACTTTCCTGAGTCAGGACCCGACATTACAGGTTAGCACCCTAACCACCAGGCGTCTCTTCCTCTCTGTACAATCATTGTAAACCTGCTAGCCTCACGCAGGTGACATGCAAGGGGAGCTAAATCACAGGAAAGCCACAAGAGTGTTAAAGCACTGATTTAAAAAAAAAGAAAATCAAAGGAAGTCTCAGACCAATAGGATCAGCATAACAAAAGCCCCACGGATGCTGAGCACTTCTTATGCAGAGATGTGTACAAAGCAATGCAAAGAGGCAGCTTGTAATGTGGGCTGCGGGAAGGCTTATAAGAAGTAAACTCTCTGATGTCGGTATTTAATCTTCTTTAATACATAGGCACACCGCTTTCTTCTCCACATCCAAGCTGGCGGCGAGAGAAGGGAGATCGCGGCTTGTGGGACTAGGTTTAAATTCAATAACGTGGCACCTTTCGTCCCAAAGACTTAACACGTGATAGCCAGAGATCGTTTCGCCCACCTCTGGGGTGGGGTAGGACAGCTGTTTAACAGCACACAGCAACATTATTCAAGACTGCAGCCAGGTTGGAATTTAGTCAGGGCACCAGGGTTAAAACTATAAATCCTAGGTACTTTCATGGCCCCCTATCACCTTAATATCTGAGCACCCCACACTCATTAATGGATTGGTCCTCACCAAACCCCTGTGAAGCAGGGCAGTGCGCCTGTCCTCGTTTTACAGATGGGGAAACTGAGGCACAGAGCAATGGCGGCCCATGTTGTCAAAGGTATTTAGGCACCTGTGATTTCAGTGAGAGTTAGGCACCTAAATACCTTTGAAGATCCGGAGCTAAATGATGTGCCCAAGCTCACAGAGGAAGCCTGGCATCTCGGGTCATAGCTGCTTCCTTAACCTCGAATTCTTGGTAACGGGAGTTGGGCCTGGGGGGGCCGGAATGATCACACCCAGCTGGGAGGGGGTCAGGGGATGCCTATAAAGGCTGAAAGAGCAAAGGTAGGAAGGGGGAGCCTAGGAAGTGGCTGGCCTGTGGAGGGGACCATGGGGAAGAGCTGTCAGAAGCCCCTGAGCTGGAGACCAGAAGCGGCCGGGTTTACAGGGTGCTGTTTTATTTTGGGTTTTCTGACACTTGCTGGTGGCGCTGGATCTGGTGGGAGCCTTTCCTGAGCTGGGGAGAGAGGCCAGCAGCCTCCAGCACCTTCTCTTCTGGCCAGAGCTGGATGAGACTAGACCTGGTCAGCGGACAGGCTGATTTCACGCTTTTCAAATCAGATTGGAGGAAACCCTGGTGTGGTATTAAACAGCTTCCCTCTCCTACCCCAGAGGTGGCTGCATTTTGGTGGTGGGTGAAATGATCCCTTTCTATAGATGGTTTTTGTTAACCCCAGAAGGGACCGTTCTGACATGGAGTCTGACCTGCAGAGCACAGCCTGGGAACCTCACCCAGTGCCTCCTGCCTCCTGGCTGAGCTAGACGGAGCTTCGAGGAGCTAGCCAATCCTAAGGGGTGAAAGGGGTGAGCTATTGTTTATCCAGGGCCAAATTCGCGGGTGTTGTAAATCAGAAGATTCCCATAGCAATCAATGAAGCAATGCTGATGGATACCTGCTGGGGATTGAGGGCACCTATTCACGTCAATAAAGCGAAGCTAATCTACGCCGTGTGGACATATGCCCCGGCCGACTCCAAGGAAGGCTTTGCCTCAGCAAAGACATCTGAGCTGGCCCGCGATCATTCTTCACCCAGGGCGAAACTCCCCTGCACTGCGCACACGTGCCTGTCAACACATTTTGCACATGCACCAGATGGTGGGGGGATCCGATGGCCTAATCCCAAAGAAATATCAGATTTCTCAGCAGGCTTTAGTTGGCTTTTAATGAGGCTGGCATTTGTCGTTCTAGAAACAAAATCTAGACCATTCATTTTCCCTCTGTCCAAGGTGATTTCAGGGCTAGGCTTTGGCAGAGGATCACGCAACCAGACCAGCACGAACTAAAATGTATCTGAACGGTGCACGATGGCCGTGTAGACACGCTCCCTGAACTATTACTCAGCAGGGGGGTCTCAGCTCACCAGCTGCTTCGCTGCTGTCAGTCTTTCTGCAGGTACAAGGGCAAAGGAGGAAAGCGAGGCAACTTGGCCCTGTTTATGGGGAGCCCTTCCCGAAATCTTAGGGGCTGTTGGTCTGATGAGATTCCCGCTCCAATTCTTTTCGACCAAAGCGGTTCTGATGAGCGTGGGCTAAAGAGAAACAGCTGAGCTGAGAATCTTCGCCAGTTTCCTTGTCGACGGGAAAGTCTCCGTGCAGCCGGGAGGCTGGATATGAGGAAATGCATTACCCTGACCAAACGGTCTCCGCACGCGGATCTAGTCCTGCGAGCCCTTGACCTCAATGGGGTTGTAATTATTATCCATCTGTTCTGCAGTGGCACCTGGCAGCTCCATTCCTGGACCAGGGATCCTGCTGTGCGAGGGCCCGGACAACCGCAGAACGAAGACAGTCCCTGCCCCAAGGAGCTCACAGTCTACGGTCTAGATCACAGAAGCCTAAATGCCATCAAACTTCTATAGGGCAGTTAGGAGCCTAAACACCTTTGTGACCTACGTGACTATTCACCTGAGTAAAGATTTGCAGGCTCAGGCAAAACTTGTGCAGGGTGAATGTATCCCATGCAAAGGGCCACTATAGAGGGCATAAGCGCCACTTAGCGCCCTCTGAAACCCTATGCTGAGAACTCCAGTGGTGCAGCGTGCCTTGTGCAAACCCTCTGCGCAGAGAGATGTTTCCCTTTCTTCTCAGCATGTGGCTACGCTGCCCTGGGGGGGGGGTGATTGTGACCCCTAGTGGGGGCCAGCTGTGGTCCCTCAATTAGGGTGAACTGCAAAGAATGAGGCAGACAATCCCCATAAAGCTAGTAGATAAAAAAAGGCATAAAACAACTTCTTTATTACCTCACTGGCTACTCAGAAGTCCAAACAACACAGTTCCCCTAAAGTTCTCCAGCCTCAGGCCTCCATCCAGGTACCTACGTCAAATCTGAAGAAAAATTCTGTAAATCTTATTTCATTATATAAAAGAAAAGGTTCTGCCAATCCCAAAGGATTGGACATGTTACCTCCCAGGTTAATGAATGTTCCAGATCTTACCCAAATACACGCTACAGCCAATTCTTATTAACTAAACTAATATTTATCTAAAAACAAAAGAGAGAGGGTCTGGTTACAAGATCAGTATACGTACGGACATGAGTTCGATTCACTGAGGTTCAGATTCAGAGCAGAGATGGTGAGCTTTGTAGTTGCAGAGAGTTCTTTCAGCAATAGTTCGTAGGTTAAAGTTCAATGTCCAAATCTCACATTCAGGGCGTACCAGCATAACTGGGGCCTCAGTCTTGC